CTGGAACCAACTTCCAAGGGAAGTGGTGCTGGCCCCTACCCTGGGGGTCTTTAAGAAGAGGCTGGATGCCTACCTGGCTGGACTCATTTGAGTCCCGTTTCTTGTTTTGGGGTTTTGTTGTTCTCCCGCCCTGGCGGGGGGTCGGGCTAGAAGATCTACTAGGTCCCTTCCGACCCTTAATCTATGAAACTATGAAAGCCAGATTACAACTGCCTGAAATCTGAAAATCCCATTTGTAAACATCAAGACCAGACAGGGCCATTACATTATCTAGTGTCTGATTGTGGTATATCACAGGCAATTAAGTTTTATTCAGTTACCTTTATATTGAACATTTTATTTAGGTAACACATATAGGTGTGCAGTTCTGATTTGCAGACGTGAAATTCACCACTTCCTGTTGCAATGATTAATTGCCCTTGCTATTTAAAAAAAAAACAAAAAAAAACATGTTAATTTCTAGTTGGAATATTCTGGCTTTCAGCTTCCAGCCACTATGCCTTTCTCCACTAGGCTAAAGAGCCTTTTGTAACCCACTGTAATCTTTTTGTAAAGGTATGTAGACTGTAATCTTTTCAGTCTTTTTCTTATGCTGAACTGAGTAAGCCCTTTAAGCATTCTGCTATAATGTACTTTTTCCAACCCGTGTATCATTTTCAGCACCCTATTACATATCTCAGAATCCTTTTTAAAATGTAGTGCCTAGACCTCTGCAAGATATTCTAATATCAGCCTCACCAGTGCTGTAAGCAGAAGTAAAATTGCTTCCCTATTCCTCTTCGCTACTCTCATTTTATACATTCAGAAATCATAGTAGATCTGGGCTATCCAACTTCAGAGTGGCCAGGGACCTTGTTACCCCCCCAGCCACATGTGGTGGGCCACATGTCCGCCTCCCCCACCATAGGCCTAATGCCATGTGGCAGGTGCCTTTCTCGCACTGTGTCGATGTCTCTGCACTCAGCATTCTGTGCTATATGGCACGGCACGGCACTGTGTGGTGGGCTTCCTTTCCCCCGCCCCCATCTCCTCCCGCCTTACTGTACCATGTGGGATTCTCAGCCCTGCTGACTGGCCTGGCGTCAGGGACAGGGGCAACTAGTGGGAGCAGAAGGAGGGAGTGAGAGCCTGGAGACTCTAGCTGTAGCAGCCACTAGAGCAGTGAAAAGAGAAGGTCCAAGACTGGGAAGCCAGGGGCTGCAAGTTAAGCCCTCAGTGACTGCATGTGGCCCACAGGCTGCCAGGTGGACAGTCCTTTGTTAGATCATTTTGCTGCAGCATCACTCTGGGAGCTTATATAGCTGCTTTCTACTACAATCCCTCAATTATTTTTCAGAGTCTGAATCACTGCTTTTAGGACTCTATTTTTACATACAGCCTGCATTCTTTGTTCCTATATGTACGTAGGACTATACACTTTGGCTGTTTAAAAATACATTTTATGTTATTTTCATGTTCTCATCTCATCAATGCCTCAGTTGCATTTGTTTTGTTTTTTTTCTGAAATTATAGCTCATATATTAAGGCTTTCCACTCTGTTCTGAGATCTTGACACTTAAAGAACTGGGTATTTACAAAAATAGAATTGTGCTTAGTTTTTTATATATAGATATTTATTATTTGATTTGGACTGTGCCATATCTTAAGGCAGGCGTGGGCAAAATACAGCCCACAGGCCGCATCTGGCCCACCAGGCACTTTCATCCAGCCTGCAGAGTCCAACAATGAATTGTACCCCACCCAGCCATCCCACCCATGAGGATGGAAGTGAGGTGCCCATGTATACACATGCCCCCAACATAACCTATTGCACTTCGCTCCTACCCTCATGGGCAGAAGGGCATAGCCAGTACACAGCTTCCAGGTGGGGCTGCTGCAGCCACCCCATGGGGACCTGCTTGGCCTCCCTGACATCCTGCTTCCTCTGAGCAGCAGGTAGAGAAGCGGTGGGGGTGTGGGCAGAGCTGCAGTCTAGTGGGGCAGCGGTAGCGCAGAGCTTGGGTGGGCAGCATGTGGGTGTGAGGGAGGGCGTGTGAATGTGGGAACCCTAGCCCCACACTCCCTCCATGACATGCAGCAGGTGGGGGTGCTGGTGCCTGGCAGTGTGTGGTTCCAGCTAGTGTGCATATTGTGGCGAGGAGCGCAGTCCCCACTGGGCCATCTCTATGCCATGCACTCCCTGCCATGCATGCACAGCCCCTGCACTCACGTGGCATGGGAGGGAAGCTCCATGCGCTGGAGCCAGCTGCCTTCCCCACCCCTTGCTACACTGGTTCCACAGCAGGGGGTGGGGAAGGCAGCCGGCTCCAGCACATGGGGCTTCCATCTTATGTGGTGCAAATGTATGGGTTTC